AAAAGAAAGGAGGGGAAATAGTAACAAATACATCTCTTCACTATTCACCAAAATTTCCTAAATTTATTCCGACTTACCCAAGTGTCCAAGGAGGATAAAGCAGGAGAAGCGAGTGCCTGGTTTTCGGCTGTGCAGGGTTTTTATAGAGCGCCCAGTCCCGCCCCAGCCCGGGTCAGCTCCAATTACCAACCCCTTTTTGCCTCCCCCATGACTCCTTCCCATTGATATCCCGCTCCTTCACAGGATTTCTGATTATTGGCCCGGGCTACACCCCGCAGGTCCCTTTCATCTCGAAGCTACTCAGAGCAATTAAGCCTTGGTATCATCCTGCTGAATTGGCTGTTCGGGACCGCGACAGGTCGCCAGAATATGCAAAGACTCCGGAATTCCACACGCAGCGCCCTTGGAGGAGCAGCCTCGCCGGGCAGTGTCGGCCCACGCGCTTCGCTGGGCATTTTTTCCCCCTGAAACAGCCGTGGAAGGGAAGCACAACCTCAGCTTCTCTCGTGTTTCACACCTCTAATGAGCCGTGAGGCAGCTCCGACCCCTCCGACGTTCCCGGTGACTTGCACAGGGGGAAAGACCATCCCTTTGATTTGGGGCCGGCATTGAATCAGCCCGAAAATTGGCCTGTGAGCACCGAAATGGTATGTACGCGACGCATTTCAGAGGGAAAAAACCCCCAGAGCCCCAGTTCTGAAGCTATAAATTACGAGTTAATAAAGCACAGAAACAGCACAGCCCGATACGCGTTTTTAGAGCGGGTCTTACATAACCGGGCGTAGCAAGGTGGCATTAACGTTCAAATAATAAATCTCTTTGTGCAGGGAAATATTTAATAAGTATTAATGAAGGCTTTGATATTCGAAATTTAGAGAAAGGCCCAGAACTCCTGACGTGCCTGTCATTATCCTGCCTTTGGATGCGGGTAAACAGCAGTGCTTGGAGGTGAAGGTCACCAGGGAAGACCAAGTTGTTGCTGCTTCCCAAGTCACATTCACAGGGCTCAGCATTAATCATCAAATTAATTAAACACCTCAACAACACTAAGAAAACATCACATTAAACCATATTTGGAATTTGGGGGATTCCTCAGGGAAACTACAGTCATTACAGAGATAAGTCCCTGTTTTGTCATGAACCCCCGAGTGAATAATTTTAGGATCTAACCATAAAAAGAGCACCAGATATTCCTTCTGTGTAGACTTAGCAGTTTGTTAAGTTTGGTCAAAATAATTGATAGAGCACAGCAAGCAAATAAATCAGATTTTCTACTTTCTTGTGGGAGGTCACAGCACAGAATTAACACATTCACGCACCACAAAAATGTTAAAAAATTATAACTAAAAATACACAACTATTCTGATCAAAAACTGCAATTCTGAAATAAAATACAAAACAAATAATAAACTATTTCTGCCAAAAATAATTGCAGTTCTTTGTTCCTCTGAGGAATCCAGAGTCATTGCAGGCTTCATGGACTGGCATTTGTCCATTCATCCAAAACTGGGATTGTGAGCATCAATTAATTCTGCTCTCAATATCCTTCCTT